CAACCAATTTGAGTTATCGATTATTTTAATCTAACAATCATTACAGTCTTAAAAACAAAAACATTAAGTTTAGTTTTGATTTCTTCTTACTTTTGCAAAGTCTCAGAACGTTAGCTCTTTATTTCAGTGAAAAAAGTAAACTTTTATATCTTTTGCGTCGCGGGTGCAACAAGTCAATAGTGTATTATTCTAGCAGTCGATTACTTTCAATAATTAACCATATACTTACATTTTTTGGTACGCAAAGATAAACGAATAATGTCAGTTCACGTTTAGCTGGTAAAACTTAACCTCAAACTGTCCAAAACATATGATTCACGCCAGTGTTGCTAGTCATGATTTTACAACTTCTACCAATCCTTCGGATGACAATATTTTCAAACGCGACAAAAATGAGGGTATGGTATAAAATCACATAAAAATTATATGGCTATTAAATTTAGACTATCTTCTTTCCATAAATAACAATAAAAATAACTAATAGCGTGATTGAAAAAAAAATGATTGCAATCGTCTATAGCGGAATGGCCCGTAAGTAGTTCTGATAAATTGCGCACTTTTTTGTTTTCTTGACCTTTAAGAAAAACTTTGACACCCGGGCAGAAGAATATTTTGCATACAACTTTGGTTGACCCCACAAAGATTCTTTTACCACCACTACACATGGAGTTGGGTTTAATGAAACAATTTGTAATAGCTTTGCCTTAAGATGGTGATTGTTTTAAATATTTATGTAGAAAATTTCTTCATTTATCAGAAGCTAAACTGAAAGAAGGGATTTTCGTTGGGCCTGATATTCGTAAATTGATGCTCGATACCAACTTCGAAGCAACGATGAGTACAAAGGAAAAAGAGGCTTGGATATCATTTAGAGAAGTTGTGACGAAGTTTTTGGGCAATGTAAAAGATCCTAACTATGAACTTATCATATCTAACATGATAAACAATTTTAAAAATCTTGGTTGTCTGATGAGCCTTAAAGTCCACTTTTTGCACAACCATCTTGACTTTTTTCCTACAAACTTAGGGGATGTCAGTGAAGAGCAAGGGGACGGTTCATCAGGACATCAAAGAAATGGAGAAACGATACCAAGGAAGGTGGAATGTAAACATGATGGGTGATTACTGTTGGACACTTAACAGAGAGCAACAGAATGCTTCGCATCGGGGAAAAAGCTGTGCAATAAACTTACAGAGAGAAGAGAGAGGAAATACAAAAAAACATGTATCTAATATTTAGTAATCTATTATTTGTAAGAGAAAATTTTAACTTTATTAAGAACTAAATTTTTTAATTTTTAATTATCAAATTTTTCCCCATTTTTTGAAATATACAATTATACAATACACAACGTCATATTGTGAGAAAATTGTGGGTGATAAAAAAATACTGATATCGAATACGATTTCAGCACTAAACAATACATAAGATTTAGGTAAATTTGTTTAAAAAGTTTTTACAAACATTTTTTTTGTTGGCCTGTGTTATAAATAACTGCCCTTCAGTTTCATATAAATCAGTCACTAGAGACAGACGGACAGACAAAAAATTATCTAAGGGTCGCTTGTATTTTATATTAGCATTTAACAATAACCACAATAACTTGAAAAAGATAGACGCTTCAATTATGTTTATATAGAAGTAAGTAGGTACAGCGTGAATTTTATAATTTGTTACCTTTCATCATCATAAGTTGCTATATTTTGAAAATTAATAATTCTATCAGTGATATAATTATATTTTTTTAAGGTCTACAATTTCCATATAAGAAATGTATAATATAATTTAACATCTAAATCATTTTTTACTATTTTCCCTATTATTATTTAACTGCACATATGACAATTACACATTTCCGAAATTAGAAAATATATAGGGTTTTCTACTTAAAAAAAATATTCTGAGCACCCTCGTACATTAACAGACTTGTGGAAATTCTAGTAGCACATTCGAAATTACCAAAAAAAAATGGCATACACCGTTAATTCCACTAATGTTTAAATAGAATTTTGGTTACTTACTACTAAAAAGGGCCACAGAAATCAAAGATAGTGTCTAATGATTATTCCGTAATTTTATAAGTACAAATTCGTCTTTTTTTTAATTACGAAACAAAAAAATTTTAAAAACTTTCTTTTGACATAATAGGAAGATTTTTTAAAGTATTCAATTTTCAACTTTCTTTAGGCATTACCTACTTACACATCGCTTTTATATTTACTGATTTAAATATTTTTTACTATAACAATTCAATTTTTTCCGTTATTATGCTTACCTACTGTAAATATGTCGATATTTCAAATGGCAAACAAAAACAACACACGCACCGCGTTTTAGTTTAGGACGCCATCAAAGAACAACAACCAACAACCCCTTCGCGCGGCTTAAACTCTACTGTAATACACGGCAAGGGTTGTTCGCTTCAGAGCGTCGTGGCGCCTGTCTCCCAGCGCCCCGACGCTTGAGAGCCTCTCTCGAACGGCATGTGCCGGAAAGCTGGAAATCGATCGTTCACAAACCATACAAGCTTACATACATATACACGGTGTACGCATTAATAAATAACGACAGAAAAAAAAAATGGCCACTTTGACAAACCCCTGTCAATACGGGCGAAACGTCGGATGTTGCCTTGTTTCTTTTACATGAATAAACAACTTTGAAATTGTCGCTTTAGAACAAAATTAAATTTTCTATAAAAACTACTTATATTCTAGATATAATTAAGCTAAAGGCAGTGGTGAATAAAAATAAACTCATGGTACACGAGGTTTGTTCAAAAAATCATTTTTTGTGATCTTGTTTAGCTCCTCCTTCGATTTCGTCTTTATCTCCTCAATCGTAGCGTAACGTCGTCCTTTCATGGGCCTCTTCAGTTTCGGGAACAAGAACAAGTCACAGTGGGGCAGATCTGAGGAATACGGTGGCTGCCGCATTATTAGTGTGTGTTGTTTTTGCAGGTAATATTCCTTATTAACTGTTCTTCCCCTTTGCAAGAACTCATGATGCACCACGTCCCTGCAATCGAAGAAAACTGTAACCAAACCTTCACATTAGACCTAACATGGGACGCTTTTTTCGGTCCTGGCTCATGCGGCAGCTTCCATTGGGATGATTGAGCTTTGGTTTTCACATCGTAACTATAAACCCATGATTCGTCACCACTTATGAACGTTTGAAGCAAATTTGGGTCGACGCGAGTCCAATAGCTCCTTAGCAATGTTAATTGGATGCTGTTTTTGGTCGAAATTGAGAAATTTTGGTACGAATTTCGCGGCGACCCGTCTCATGCCCAAATCATTGGCAAAAATCGAGTGGCAGGAGTCAATCGATATGTTTAGGTACTCAACAACTTCTTTAACGATATTCCACGATTCGCCAATTCTATTTTCTTCACTTCATCAATGTTTTCGTCTGTTGTTGACGTGCTCGGGCGTCCGGCACGCTCTTCGTCGTTCACATCTTCTCGGCCCTCTAAGAACATTTTGTACCACCAGCAAACGTTGCTTTGGACCAAAGTAGCTTCACCAAATGCCACAGTTATATTATGTAAATTATTATTTAAACAGAGAACCTTCGACTACCGATTGCATGTCAGTGGTCTGTTATTATTTGTTTCTAATTTTAATTCCTTGAACCAATCTAATTTCATAGCAGCAGCAACAACAAGGGCCTCGTTCATGACACTTTTTACGAGGCGTCCCGACGCCGAGAGTCGCCATATAACCATCACGTCGGGCGCCACATGCAAACTTTACCGATTCAAACACGCACCGGAAAACGTATCTCAAAGGAAATCGTAATGGGGGAAAACCCTCATCATAACCGACATTTTTCTGATTTTCTATCGCGTTCTTCCAATTTAATATTCGCTGCTTTTTAATTAAAAGTGTAATATCATAAAACAGATGTTGATAATTAATTATGGTTGAAGACCCATTATCGTGTTGTTTACTAGAAAGCTTTTGCATTGTTATCTCCTATAGGTGTAGTAGTTAGCCCAAAAATGTGCTTTAATAGATGTTTTTCGGCAAATCATAATGTTTAAAATGAACGGGAAATTGTAAGGAACAAGATATTTGTTTTCTCTAAACATGTGTTAACATCCAAGAAATCGGAAATAAAACGACCAAAACGTGATTGTTCTTAAATTTTAGATTCGTTTGCGAATTACTTTTAGTACTAATAATGAATAAAAAGAAAATTCAAAGAACTACTTCGATGCAAAACTTTATTTACGACAAAAATGTATTATTGTAAAATTCTGAATTTTGCTTTATTTTCGAGTAATTTAACAAAAAAAAGCTATTTTCAATTATGACTGGGGAAGAGCCCAATATTAGCGAAGATTTGGTTTGTTCATGACATACGGTGGCCTGGCATAATTAATATTTTGTGGGATTTCCGTTATACCATGCTCACAGTATCGAGTGTCTACTATGGGTGTGTTCCGAAATATAACTCTTGACTCACCAATACAACATGGTGGCACAGCAGTACAATATGGCGCTCATTCATGACTTCATCAGCACCGGCCAGTATTTCAGAACATCCCCTATATGTGAACTTAGAAATACTACCTTGAAAGCTGTCATTTAACAACTTTTACATTCAAAATTCTTAAAAAAATTATAACTACACTATTAATAGTTATTGTAATATATCAGCATCATCTACATTTCTAGTTCTACATATTAGTTAAACAGATGCAACTTTTCTATAATGCAGTGACGAGTTCAATATGTACTGTTGCTAAATAAAGTCAGTATTCATCAAAATGCTTCACAAAGCCTATGTTGAAGACGCACGCACAATATTAACTACACAATACGTATCTATAAATACAGATGTAGATATTTAATTGCAATATTAATTGATAATAGCGGCTACATACGACAATTGTAAATTAAATTGTAAGAAGTACTGTAACCTGCTTTTTTGCCCCACGACGCCATATCAATACAATAGAAAAACCATAAAATATCAAATGATAACTGACCTGCAATTCTGGTGGTCCACCTTCATCCCGGATGAGGAGAAGATAGCTTTGGTTATCTACAAGGATTTCCTTTTTGAACCTGCCCCCTTCGGGCGATTCTTCTTGCATATACGAGCCGGTCAAATAACGGTGAACTAAAGCCGATTTCCCGGAGGATAATGAGCCCACTATTCCCAACCTCAGGTCGGGAACAGAGCGAGAAAGTGTCCATTCTTGACTGTTTACGAACGAATCTGTAACAAATAATAAGAATCGATAAATAAACAATTATTGTAAAAAAGTTAGAGACTGATTCTAACTGAGGATGAAGTGTACAAACGCGTTTCAGTTTTCTGAACGTTTTATGTAATTTTGGAGTTTTTTTTAGGTATTTAGGTATAAAAGAATGTAAGAAAATCAGACGAAGTTGTAATTCGAAGCCGGCCCTGGGCGTGAAATGGCAACGTATAGAGAAATTGCGATAATAATTAAGCAATTACATCAATGAAAAATGTAAACTGCGACGGTTGTAGAACGACTATTAAAGTACTACTTAGAGTACACCTCGACATGGTATTAAAAACACAAAATATAAAAGAAATACTAGTACAACACGGATCCTGCAGCTGATGGAATGCGGCGTTGTAATGTCGTATTTCGCTGCGTGATCTCACCAGGGTCGGACTGGCCCCTGACTTTCAAATACGTTTTTTTCGAAAACGGTGGACTTTCGAACCACTAAATGTTTACTTCATTTTCTTGCTATTCTTTGAAAATGGACAATCTAAAATATTGGATCGATATTGTTTTCCGGGTTCAATGTCAAGGACCGTGGAATATTAAAGTTCCAAATTGATGTCAGCACCTGTCAAATTACTACTTATCCTACCTTTATAAATGAACTACGAAATTTTATGAATTACGACAAAACAATATCGAATTGATACAAGTCAGCTAAAAATACGTATTTTGCACTTAGCATTTAAAATAGAAAAGGGAAATCTATTTTGTATTTTACATTTGAAATATCAAATCAAAAAAGTATTTGCATTTTCTATTTAAATATTTTTAAAAAACCATTTTGCACATCTCGAAGTATTAACTTTATTAGTCAATTCGAACTTTTTCGAGTAAAACAATCACCAAATAAATTCTGTACTACATGTGTTTTAGTCATGCAGGCTTACGCTGCACTTTTTAGTGAAGTACGATGCCGATATTTGTACGTTATACGACAAAAATAGAAAATATTGCATTTGATTTATTATTTGATTCAGATGTTTAATGATTCTTTGTTTGTTTTAATGAACTACTGATTATGGGTACTTATACACAGCACCTACTTTTGTAAGTTCCAATTTTCGATCTCAATAACAATAACAGTTCTCTTCAAGTTATTTATACATAGGTATACACCGTGTACATTTTATGATAGTTACCTTGTGTTTATATCGCTTAGAAAAACCAGTAAACCGTAACAAAGTAATTTAAACTGGAGAAAATTGAATAGCTTCCGGCTATCAAAATAATCGACGACAATACATTACTATTATTTCATAGCCAACTAGTTAAATCCGATAGAGCGTGGAAGGAGCACACGTTTCGAAATTAGAAAAAAATCTGTGCTTTTATATCATGCTTTCACATTTGATTAGACGACACACGTATAGAAGTTCTCATATTACCACAAAAACAATTTTTATTATAATAGCCAAATAATAAAAATCTAAACGGATCCTTTTTCGTACAACAATAGATCCTTTTTTGTGAGAAAATAAAGGAAAGTTAAAGCACCTATAATAAATAAATAATAGTCAATTCCTCAATAGTTACAAACTTAATTAATCCCCTTTATTATGCGTAAAGAAATAGTTTAAGAATATATAGAGCAGTAGAGATATAAAGAATAGCGCAGGATCGAATTGCCTTTAACAAATAGAAGTTAATTGTACGGTTAATTTAGAAAATCCAAATAGATTGTTAAAGGCGGATGTTTGGAGCGCGGCGCTGTACGGGTGCGAAACATGAGCGGTGCTGGGTGCGGCGGAAAAGAAAACGTTAGAAGCGTTCGAAATGTGGTGTTACAGGGGAATGATGAGGATATCGTGGATAGAGAAGATTAGAAATGAGGAGGTATTAGAAAGAATATGAGAACAGAGGACCCTATGGAAGTTAATAAAAAATAGGCGAGATAGGTTAGTAGGATACCTTCTCAGGCATGAATGGTTAGTTATAGCTAGGGTTGCCATCCGTCCGGGTTTCCCTGGATTTGCCCTAGTTTAGAGGGCATCCGGGGAGCGTCCGGGGGGGGGCTTCATTTATAGTCCTGGTTTAAAAATTTAAAGTCTTGTGCCGCCCGCGACACACGTAAAAGAAATCTAACTGATTATTAAAACAATTTGTAACAAACTGTAATAAGATTCTGTTTTGTTAGGTACCTTGAAAATGATGATAAAGAATGACTAAATTTAATTTTAAGGTCCGAAAATAAATAAAATGGTGATTTATGACATTTTCAACTGTTTTTGGTTACACTGATTATGTTTAAAAAAACCTGTTGACATGTCCGGGTTCTGGACTCTAAAATCCGGGGTTTTCATGCGTCTTGTCCTGGTTTCCAAATTTTAGAGATGGCAACCCTAGTTATAGCTGAACTGAGAAAATTAAATTTTTATGACAACGCAAAAATTACAATTTTGCATTGTGAATGACTAGACTTGCCGTTGAAATAGTAGAATTTATTAGGTAACTTGTAATAATCTCAATTTTGACATGTTCTTTTAAAAATTATTTCATGTTTCTTAATTATTACAATTTAATTTGCAATATCAACTAAAATACCCAGAAAATTTATTTCTACTGGGATTTTATTTTTACAAATTCACGTCCAAATTGTAATTTTTATTATTTCCGCTTACGACGCAACGAGCTAGTGGGATAAATTGTAAATAACGCTGTAATATTCAGGTAAATTTTCTTTATTCATTTTTTCCGTGTGGGACGATCAAAATTGGCAAACTCTGCAATAAGTTATTTGTGGTAATAGACGTATCTTCTTTCTTGTTTCCATTTAGGGGTAGACACATCTACTGCATTTGGAACACGCCCTATTTAAGTTAGGAAATGCTTCATGAATAGTACAAAGTGAAAACAGATAACCGAATAATAGTAAGCGGCGCAGCGGTTAGAAGTTGCTTAGGTACGCAAAAGATCAGGGTCGGCTTTATAACCGTCTGGTTGGAATTATACCTTTACACAAATGTCTTTACTTTCCTAAACTCTTGAGAATGTTGAAGTTTGTTCAAAGTCTGATACTGTCAACAGGTTTAAACTGTGCTTGTTTGCATCTCTTTCTGTTACACATTAAATGGAATAATGTTATTCCTTTTCTTTATTAGTGTCCGCTGCAATTCCCACCTGACATCTCCTTTCTGTGTTTACGATATTCCCTACAACGTCTGTCGTGAGTAACAGTAGGCGTTCTATCAGCAGCCGCTCGAGTATAGTCAGTAAGTTGAAAGAAGAAAGTAAATGCGACAGTTTTATTGCGGACAATGCCAATTTTGAACGTTCCAACTATAGATATTATGAGCAGAAACAGGAGTCAATAGGAGTACAGATTGATTTAGATCACATTATTGTTCACAAATAGTTAAGGATGTAGGATGATCTAATTTAAGGAAAGGGTGGAGGTGTGTGTCCAACGAGTCTTAGAGCAGACGATCCTATACGGGATGATGATAATGTGGACTAAATCAATCGTAAGTAAAATCTAATTAAAACGAACAACTCGAAATAAATGTAAGCCATTTTCCTTGTTTTTCACGTACACATTTTAAATTAAAATAATGTTTTTGTTTTTGTTTGACGAAACACCCGAAAGAAAGCAATGTTTCTCACACTTTAAAAAACAATATCACCACTATGTCAATTAAAATTTAACGTTAAATGAAAATGTCAGTAGATATACAACTTTTAATGGCGCCAAGAAAAAAGATACAGCATTTTGTGTCATCACCTGCTGGTATGTACCAATGTACTCGAACGAAACGTAAAATGCAGTATTAATATTGGAACCTAATTACAAGTCATACAGATCAGTTACAAATTATTTTGCCCTAACCTTTTGATCTGCATGCTTTCCTGGTTAACTATGTTGCGAATAGAGTACAACAGAACTTTTTTAATCACTTTTTATTATTGAACACAACAAAACTACATTTAACACAATTAAAGGTTTATAATTTGGCTTGGATTTATAAAACATGCTTCTTTGTCTAAAGCTGGTAAGTGAGTGATCTCAATACATCGAATCAAAATGAATAAAATACATATACATATGAAGTTCGCGAAATTCGTTCATATCGGTTGTATACAAAACAAATCAAGCACAAAACAGTTCACCATTACCGCTTCCCCTCACTTCACTGTTAGCGTGAACAAACTAAACTATTTTATATTCTTAAGTATAACAATAAAGAACTATTACATGGGGTACAAATTAACAATTAAAATAAAACAAATGGTTCAAGATCCAGAATACGATATACTGGTCACTTTAATGTGTATCGACATGTTTTTATATTTGATAAAGATCTAGCATACATATCTAACTTAAACTATTGAGTACTTTATTTTAATTGTTCCATTAGTATAAATGTTTTACCAATTACTGACCGAATATTCTATTTCGTTTATTATACAAAATGGGACATTTCAATTACAAATTACAACTAATTGCATTTTAAACCACCAGTCAAGATCCCAATTGGATACGTCAGGTAAACAAGGGTCTTGACAGCATATCCAACGGCCAAAGAAGGAAGATAGAATATGCAGAACCAGATGGTTGATTTCATGTATATAATATACAAGAAACAGTGTCGGCGCGTATTTATCAGAATATATTCTCAAAATGGAAAATCAGCTTCGATTTGTAGGTAAGATTCTTTTATTGGTCTCAAATTAAAAGTTTTTTAATACAAATCTTTTTATAAAATTGTCAAAAATTAAAAAAACCTTTAATTTGAGACCAATAAACGAATTTTACCGGAAAATCAACGTACAAACACGCAGCCAAAAACAACGTTAAATGATGAAAAAACATAATTTTAATGATTGGATATGATAGTTACGATATTAATAAATTTTCTTTATTAACAAATTACCTGATGCCCACGTATTCATTCGACAGGGATAAAGTTTTAGTAGGATTAATGACTGTAAAAAAGGCCAATTTTTCAAAAATTTCAAT